TATTTATATACAATTCTTTAGTTCTCTCAACAGCCTTGTCAGTTAAAAATTATTATCCTCATTTTATAGTCAGTAAACTAAGGCATAGAGTTTCAGAAATGTGCCCAAGCTAAGAACAGTAAGAGGCAGAGGCAGGTCTACGAAACCCCAAGGCCACATATTTTAACCATCAAGCTCCACTGTCTCCAGTAATGGCCCCTGGGCTCTACTAAAACATGATGTATCAGAATGGAATAGGTCTCCATTAGGTTCACTATAAAAGGACAAATGTACTTTAAAAATATTTGTCAGTTAAGTGGCTGACTTGATTTTGGCCTAGGTCATGATCTCAGGGTGCTGAGATTGAGCCCCATGTCATGGGGCTCTGTGCTCAGTGGGGAATATGCTTGATATTCTCTCCCTCCTCTTCTCCCTCTGCCCCTCCCCCCACCTGCACGTGTTCTCTCTCTCTCTCTTTCCAAAATAAATAAATAAATATTTTAATATATATATTTTATATTTTTATGTTACCTCTAAGAATGGTGAAAACATCATCCTAAAGACACATGTACTAAGAACTAGTCCATTACAGTACATGCAACAGATACAGCCCCAATGATAGCCCTGCCCTAAGCAGTCTGATTTTCTATCACACCACACACATGCACCCACCAAACTACCCACCACAGATAAGGAAAACAGGAGTAGATATTTGACCCAGAGATGCTAATGTACAGGTTTCCAATAAATAGCCTCTGAGATGATGCAGCTGAAGAAGCTGTACCCAGGCAAACATGCATAGGTTCAACCATAATCTTACTCCCCACAATATGACTTGGGAAATAAAGAAGCTCAAAGTCTTGAAGTATACAGAGACTAGAGTTATGCCTAGAGTGCAGACATTGTTAACATTAGAAAAATCTAGTAATGAAAATGATGTTTAAAAGATACAAACTTGCAGTTATATGATAAATAAGTTCTGGAAATCTAATGTACAGTATGATAGCTATAGTTAATACTATATTGTATATTTGAAAGGGGCCAAGATAGTAGATTATAAAACTTCTCATCACAAGAAAAAAATGTTTTGTAACTATGCAAGGTGATGGAGGTTAACTAAACTTACTGTGGTAAGCACTATGCCGTATATACATATATAAAATATTAATTTATATGATATATGTCAATTTTATCTCAATAAAACTGGAAGAGAGAAAAATCTAGTAATGCAACTTAGCACATTATAACAGAATTAAGAAAAAAAATCATCTGATTATCTCAGCAGATACAGAAAAGGCATTTAATGAAATTCAAACACCCCAACCTACACAGATGATAAAATTGCGTAAAACTTAATATGCACACTCTATGCACCCTCACACACACACACACACACACACACACACACACAAGTCAATGCATTGTATCAGTATCAATATCTGTATTGCAATCATATACATAATTTTCCAAAATGTTACTGATGGGGAAAATTGGGCAATATATACAACCAATCTCTCTGTACTGCATCTTAAAACTGCAAGCATCTCAATGTTAAAAAGAGAGGCTAAGAGGTAAAGATGGAGGAAAAAAGGGTGGAATAAAGGAAAAGAAAATCAATTTTATGGAAACAAAGTTGCATTAATCCATCAAAATTTGAAATCAAAATCTTTGAATTCAAAATTTTGAAATCAAAATTTGAAATCAAAATTACTATTCTAATAGTAATTTCACTTAAAAAATCAGAGCCACTCCAACCTCTCAACCTTTGTATAAGTCTTTGTATAAGTCTCAACCTTTGTATAGACTTACAAAAGTTTAAAGTTTCAAATTTTTGCATTTTGAGACGATCAGAACCTTTTCAAGGCTGCTGCCAACATGCTAAATATGATGAGTGCAGTACAACACATATGACATAGTGTCAGGGATATATTACAATTCACAGTGCCTATGATAAAAACCTATGTCCAAAGTCTTTCCCTAAATTACACTATATAAACTTCAATGCTTGTTGTGCTATTTTTGTTTCAGTTATTCTAATAAAAGATGCAATTGTGCCAAAACAAAGCTTCACCAACAAAGAATAGAAGGGAACTTCCATAATCTAACAAGGACTCTCCCCAAAATTCCAGACTAAACATTATGCTAAAATGATGATATGAATAGATATGAGATGTTATGTGTTCTTCATATTAAAGTTAAAAACAAGGCAAGGTTGCCCACTATCACTGCTTATATTTAATACTGTACTGGGATCCTAGCCAGTGCCATTAAAAGTTTTAATTTAATTAGTTATACTTAATTTAATGAAGTATACTTTTAATTAAGCATACCTCGGAAAAGAATTGAAAAGAAACAAAACTGCCACTATTCACAAGTCATGTGATTGTTTAAAAAATGAGTGGTAAACTTTAGAACTCATAAGGGAGTCCACCAAAGTTGCTGGATTTGAAATCAGTAGCAGAGGCTGAAAAGCCCATGATGAGTGTCATGAGCTGAAGTTCTAAAGAAGTAGATAAGAAAACCCAGTAGTACAAAGAAGAGAAGCAAAGACCTTTACAAAAGAGCTGAGTCCCAGAATGAAGACCACCAAGCCTTGCTAGCTGTGTTAAGCATCTCCTGCCTGCGTTAGATCAAGGTCTAGCACCTATGATTCCCAGCTACAGCAGCTCCTGGGTCTTTGACTCCCCTATCTCCCTCTTCCACAATACTCACTACAACCTCCTGTCTAAACTAACCCAATGAACATCTGCAACTGGAGCTGAAAAGAGCCCAACCAGAACACACATAAAATATGCTGGGGCACCTGGGTGGTTCAGTCAGGTAAGCATCTGACTCTTGATTTCAGCTCAGGTCATGATCTCAGGATTATGAGATCCAGCCCCTTGCCAGGCCTCTGTGCTGAGCAGGGAGTCTGCTTTAGAGTCTCTCTCTCTCCCTCCTCCTCCGTCCCTCCCGACCCCTGCTTGCTCTCAAGCGCTCTCTCTAAAAATAAATAAATCTTAAAAAAACACATAAAATATGAAAAGTAGACACATGTTCAAAATTGGCATAAATTCTTATAAGCTCTAATTTCTACCTAAAATTATAATTCTTATTTACTTATAAAGTCATTTTTAATGATCCCATCATCAGAGAGAAACAATATTGTAATCAACTACATCTAATCTCTAAAGCAGTAGCACTTGGCTTGGAATATATTATGGATCTTTACAATAGGTACAGAGGAACATACTTCTTTTGTCCAAGAAACATCATTATGTGGAACAGCCTCTATTTTAATACTTGAACTTCAACAGCCTCAGGTAGGAGGCCAAACAAAAAATGTTCAGTGCTTTTATGTTCTTTCCTATTCCTGAGGCAAAGGATTTGGATGATGACAATACTATCATAGGTTTCCTCAAACTTGGGCTCTATTGCAGAAGCTCTACTTCTTTCATGATTCAGAACCCACTGTCCAATATGGTAGCCACTAGTCACATATGGCTACTGAGCATTTGAACAGAATTAGATATGTTGTAAGGCTAAAATACACACTGGATTTCAAAGACTTTACATAATAAAAAGAATTTATAATCTCCTCCATAGTTTTTATGTTGATTAAATGTTGAAAGAACATTATATATTTAAATTTATATCTAAATAAAATGTGTTATTCAAATTAATTAATTTCACCTGGTTATTTTAACTTTTTAAAAATGTAACTACTAGAAATTTTAAATTACATCTGTGGCATATATATATATACACACACATATATATAACAAATATGTATATAACATATATTCATATACACACACACTGGGCAGTACTGATTTAGAAAGTCAAAAGGTATTTTAAATGATATGTGTATTACATGTAACATTTAAGACATGAATAAATAGGCTTTTAAGACCCTTTATATATCTTTTGATAGCAAATTCTTATAAAGACAGGTATAATATAACAATAGTATAAAAGAGGCATCCTTTATTGAGCTCCAACTTTTTGATGGAGCTAACACTAAATGCTTCAGATAGAATTATCAGTAATCCTCCCTACAGGGAGGAGTAGTTTGGACCAGGGAGATTGTGTAATTTGCCCTAGATCACACAGCTAAGTGTTAGATTCAGGCTCTGAATGTAGGTCTGTCTGAGGCCAACGTCTGTAACCAGTAGTACTTCAAATAAAGAAATTGAGAGAGGTCCTGTTTGGAAGTGCCCAGGTGAAACTGGTCATACGAAGATGGCCATTATCCACTTTGGGCAAGAACTATCCAAAGTGATCTACCTATTGCTGAGAAGGTTCCTTTTCTGCCTTAGATACTGAGGAGTTAACAGTTTTGAAAATCAGCACACCAACCCAACCAGTCTGAGGAGTCCACTGCTCATCCTTCTCTGAGAAAAAATCTATAGGAGTAATGCAGAGTTTTGAGGAGCCACATAGCAAAGTGTGCCAGAGGCCTCAAAACAATGGTGCCAACCCTGGTATGGTCAGCTGTCTTTGGGGCCACCTCTTGGATGAGTTCCTTTGCTTGGTCCATAGTGTGTCCAAAGAATGTATCTGTAACAACAGCACTCATGGAGTGGGAAGATCTGGAATACCTGAGAGACATTACACTGCCATAAGAGAGAAAAGCAGACTCGCCAAAAAGATTGCCAGAAGGGACTTCTGAAACTCAAAACATCTCTGCCATCAAGCTTTGGAAAAACTAAGCATGCAAAACTTTGGCACTCCATCATCCATCTTGTCCCCCAACACGCTCACAGCCAAATAGGCGATGGAAGTCTACGGACATCTGCTCAGCATTACCACAAGTACCCACAAAGAGCAATTTTCCCTCCTGCAGCAGTTGAAAAAGTGGGGTGGGGGTGACTGGGGGTGTGGAAACTGGCCAGAAAAAAAAACACACAGAAAGCTCAGTGACATTCAGACACGAACCTAGGAAGTCTTGAATGGTTCAGAGTGGGACACTGTCACCTCTGATTTAATTAGAAGACTGTTTTCGGGATGCTGAAGGTCCAGGCCCATAATCAAGCACTTACATAATCCTCCTCATTGAGTCCTTGTTTCTCAACAGAACTTTTCACCTCCATGGAAAACTTCTCAAACTCAGGCTTCACTGTCCTCAGTAGAGTGATTGTTTGGAGGGACGAGTATGCTTGCTTAGCTTCAAAGTCATGTTTGTCTCCTCTCTTCCACGAGCCATCTCCTACAGAGAAATAAAAATATTTATAATTCCAAGGCAGTCACCATAAAGGGACCATTCTCCCTCTTCAACTGCAGTGTGTCACTGCATGTTACTTTTGGCAGCTGGGGCAAGAGGTATTGTCATCGTTTTGCACTTGGATATAACCTGACAATGCCAAGATCCTCAAAGGAGAAGGCCTTGTGAACACGTGTTCTTTTGAAATGTGAGAGAGAAAGAAAAGCACGCTAGAGTTAACTGCCTTATAATAACCACGTAACTGTTATTTTTAGCCTCTGAGAACTGCAGCACTGCAGAAATAAGAAGAAAGTTTTTACTCCTTTCCATTCACATTTTTTTTTAAATACCTACAATCAACTGTGGAGGTCAACTGAGTTGTTACGCTGGTACAATAAACCTGATGTTATGTGGATGTGGAATGACAGGAATGCCATGTATGACAACTGATATGCACAAGTATGATAAAGTTGGCGCTAGTCATAGAAAAAAGTTTGAGATTATTGATATTTTTTTAAATTTTTCTGGAATCTCTTCAGAATGAAAGTAACTTAGGTGAACATGAGGACTTATCTCTCTCCAGTGCTGGCAACGTCATATAAAAATTATTTATTGGGCCACATCCATCAGTGCATCGATGGTGATAAAATAAAAATTGCTAACATTCATTGAGCACTATTATAATAACAAAGCTCTATTTATTGAACACTGTATATGTATAAACTCATTTAATCTTCACAAGAGTCTATGTTGGCAAATTGAATTTACATAAAATATTTTTTTATATATTTTTTAAAAACTCTTCACAAGACTCTGTGGTTCGGGTACATTATCCCCTTTTACAGATGGGGAAATAGAGGCATTGAGAAACTGAGTGCCCCTTGCCTCGCAGTGCTCCCGTTCACAAAAGCAAAGGCAAATGATGTGCATAAGATATATTACTCTTCTCTTTATGATTTCATTTTTGAGGGCACACGTGACCTGCAGGACCCCGAAACAAAATGTTTGGCAATGAATTGTTGTTTCTATCAATTATCATTATGATCCCTACAGATCTCTGGAATCACCTCTAAGAATTCAACCTGCTGGAGTCCAACATCAGAGTCATTTGTGCACACCGAGCCCTAGTCCACGGCCGGACACCTGGAGCCCAGCGGCTGAGTAGTGAGGATGCTTGGGCTCCAGGGCATCCCTCTCCTCTTCCAGACAGAGCGTGGTGAAGAACTCCTATCAGTGCTTAAATCAGACAAATATCAGTGAACTACGTATGCCCCGCAAGGTTCTGTGATGGGCACCACGGTAGGCATTACGAATGTCTGGAACAGCCTCCGCCAGCCTCAAAAAAGGGATTCAGAGCCACCATATAAATAGCTGAAGTTATGACAGGGTAACAGCTAGGTCACTCTGGGCAAGGAGGCGCCAAAGAGTACAAAGAAGCAAGCAGAGGGTGTAGGAAGAGGCAAGGGAAGGAAGGAGGAGGCAGCATCCCGGGTCCTAAATGTATGAACAAGATTTTAATAGAAGGACAGCAAGACGTAAAGGGGTGCTTGGCAGAGCCATGGCACAGGCAAAGGTGCAAATGTATACGACACCCAGTAGGCAGCTGGGAGCCCCAGTCCAGAGCTCGAGAAGAGGCAGAGGCAAAAGCTTGTGTGTGGTGTTGTCTAATGATAATTCTCATAATAGCAGCCATTTACTAATTGTTTCTATGTGCCAGGGAGCTGTTAAAAGATAAATAAGACAGAGCTGAGAACAGAATTCATTAAAGACTAGATCCATTCTAAATTTCAGGCCACTAAACCAAACTTGACAAAGTCCTCCTCCGTAGGAACCTCCCAAACACCAAGGAGGCGACCGCATGCAGGGCAGGCAGCGGTACCTGTAGTGACCTCACTGCAGGTCCTGCCCCGAGCCAGGGGACAGCCAGCTGGGTGCTCGAGACACGGACAACGTGGCCTTTGTTGAGGAGCCAAATCCATTCACTAGGAAGACCCCCCCCCAATTCTAAGAATGTCCAGAACATCTTCATCCCAAGGAGGAACCCGTTCTTTTAAGCATGCAATCAAAATTTACTGATTCTTTATCATTGATTTGAGATATCAAGACAACATGGGTGAGCTCTGCAGGCCAAGAGGGTCAGAGTTTCTGGGAAAGAGTACTCTCCGGGTGCCTAAGAAAGAAAATACTTAACCCTACAGGGGCAGAATTAGAAAACACATACAGAACTGGAAACAGCAAGTACCACACGTACTGAAATAGGAAAACACTTTTTTTCTGAAAGAAAAAAAAATACAATACAATACATCTGTCTACCGCAATCTAAAGGGTAATAACTTTGGAGTTTTGTCTCCTAGGAAACAAAAGGAAAACAGTAATGCTTAATAAATCTAATCCAAATTAAATACTTATCTGGTCACCACCATAATCAATCCCGTGACTGCCTGAGTTTGTGGGTGCTCCTTATTGTAATGTGTCAGTAACGCTGCCCACACCCAGGCTGTTGAACACTGGAAAAGCAGAGTTGGCTTGGCATGATGCCCCATCAGTAGGGACAAATTTAATTCAGTAGACAACTGGGTGCCTCTGGAGATTTATGAGTGTAACAGAAGAATGACATGATCAGAATCACGCCTTGGGAAATAGCAATGGATTCGCATGGGGAGACATGGAGGGTTCACAGCCACAGCCGTCCCGGCAAGAGGTTACGGGAGGCTACGCGAGGAAGTCACACTCCAAAAAGCCAAACGTGCTTTTCTGCGTAGTTAGAATCACGAGCAAGTGTTCTTTTGCTCTTTCTTTTTTTTTTTTTTTTTTTTGGCATATGTGGGTGTGTGAATCTAGTGAATTTTCAATATTTACTGCTTTTAGAATCATAAGAAGAGGGAGAGTCCTTGAGAATGAAAGGAGAGGACAGTGCAAAGGAATCTCAAGACTCTACCAGAGTGAGGGAGTGAGGGACACCAGGAAGGGAGGCACATCGCTGGTGACGCCAGAGAGGAAAGCAAAAGGGGTTGTAATTAGAGGAAAGAGCAGAGCCAGATGGAGGAGGAGGGAAGTGATGTGGAAATGGTAATGATTTCAGTTAGGGTCACGGTCAATCCAAGGTGACCAACTCCAGAATGCCCAAGTGACAACACCAGGCTGGAGCTGGAAATAGTGGTATGAAGCCAGAAAGAGAAGTGAGTGCTAGAGAGAGAGCTGGATGTCATTTCCAGATGGCCTCGAGTTAGACCAGGGCCTGACTGCGCTGGATAAGAAAGAGAAGGGGGAAGGGCCGGGCACAGACACTTTGGGGATGGTGTTCCTAGTGGGCAGGAAGAGTATGAGGAGACAGAGAGGAGCTGACATGGAACCAAAGAATGCTGGGCCGACCAACACTAAGAAAACCTGGGTCTCCAGAAAGAAACTGGTGGAAACAATATGGAATGCTCTAGAGCTGTGCTGCCTAAGAGAGCAGCCACCAGCCACATGTGTGACTATTTAGATTTAAATTAATTAAAGTTAAGTACAATTTAGAATTCGGTTTCCCAGTCTCGCGTGCCACACGTAGGGTGCTCGGTAGCCACATGGGGCTGGTAGCCACCACCCTGGGCAGCACAGAACACAGTCAGCATCACAGAAAGGCCCATTGGACAACACTTCTTTAGAGGCACGGAGAAGGCCGTCAGTGACCTTGATGATAACACTTGCAGAGTGACGAGCACTAATGTCATATTCTTCCAGTGGTCCTGAGCATGAGATTAAGAGGAGGAAAAAGAAGTCTACTGAGTGAAAAGTAGGGAAGGTGCCTCTTCGCAGTTGTTTCAGAAACAAGGAAAGTGAATTTGCTTTGTTTTGTATTAAACATCATGGAGCCCCAAACTTGTGTGTAGAGTAAGAGCACAGAAAATTTGTGAAAGAGATAACCTGCTCGTCACCAAGCCCTGTACTCAGCAATCTCGTGGCCATGGAGCTGGCGCTGGCAAGGGGTACCCACACCGGGATAACTAGCCGAGACAACACAGAAGATGTCCAAGAAATGAATGCCTGGAGCTCACCTGGGCTGGCTGTGTAGCATTATGGCTCTTGACCTCTGCTCATCCCACCCTCTCCAAATGTCCAGGTGTTACATGCTTGCCACGAACTAGGCTGGTCCAGTTGCTCCCAACAGTAATAACAGCACCACTTAGTGGGTGATGCCATTGTGAATGGCATTGGCTGTAGCATTTCATTCTTTAATCCTCTTAAAAACTCCATGAGGAAGATGTAAGTATAACTGCCACCATACAGATGAGGAAACTGAGGCTCAAGGAGACTGATGTGCCCCAAGTCCCTTAGCTAATAAACAGAAGCAGGATTCAAATGCAAGCCAGACTCCAAACACTGCTGCCATGCCATCCCTGCTCCATATTCATCTCACGAGACTTTGAGGTGTCTCAAGCTTTAAAAATGAACATACGATGGGATGACAAAATGTTAAAAAAAAACAAAAGTAACACAGAAAGTAAGATCAAAAGAGGAAGTGTCTAAATGTGGTTTAACAACTGTTACAGTTCAAAGATTGTGTGAGAATTCTTTTTCTTTTCACATCATCCCAAACTGACTTTAATGTGCATATGTATTACTTTTACAGTAAAACATAATAAATCTAATCTCTCCTCAATTTTTCTCTTTCCACTTTTAGCAAGTCAAATAATTGATGTGCATCCCCTAACTCTACTATACTTCCATGTTCACCTTAATTAGTGCCCTCTGAGTTATCAGGAAGTCAAGAAAGCTCTACAATAATCTTAACAGCCCTGGACAGGATCACCCAAATAACTTGCCACCTCACTTACGTCCAAAGATGATAATGCCAGTGAATAAGAATGCTGATAGGTGCTATTTAGAACTCTACAGGGCAATATAATATCATCTTCTCTCTAGATTTTTAAAAAAGATATATTGATTTATTGATTTACAAGAGAGAGCATGTGTGTGAGCAGGGGGAAGGGGCAGAGAGAGAATCTCAAGCAGACCCCATGCTG